ACAGTAGTAATGATGCTCCTGTCATTACTGTGCACTGCTGAAGTGCAACTTTTACTTATGTCATTAATAACCCTCACTTCAATCATTTGATGGGAATCAGACATAAAAGACCCAGTGCCTACAAACCTTTTCACAATCCCTTCACAATCTACGTTTTGTAAATGAACCAGTAAAGCACAGCACCTTAGCAGCCTTTTCCGGTATCCTAAAAAAAGTCTAACTTTTAAGAGCAAATAACTCTTGTTTTAAAAAGAAGGCCTGATAATACCTAGCGCAGTGCTTGGCACTTAGTATGTACTTAATAAATATTGATCTGAATTTCTTATAAATTCTGAATAAAGCTTTTTTAGGTTAAAAACACTGCTGTTGTTCAATGACTCTCCTTAACTGCATTTGGGATTTCCCTGGCAAAGATATTGAAATGGTTTGCCATCTCCTTCTCCAGCTCATTTTACAGATGAAGAAACTGAGGCAAAAAGGGTTTAAGTGACTTGCCCAAGGGTCACACAGCTATTAAGTGTCTGAGGCCAGATTTGAACTCATGAAGATGAGTCTTCCTGATGCTAAGCTCAGCACTGTATGTCCTGTAGTGCGACCTAGCTCCCCTAAAAACATTAAAAGGGGTCATATTCTAACTTAAAGGCTATTTGAGGTCAGATCATCCTCCAATGTAGATTATTCACTCCAAGCAACCTAGGGTCATGTAAGTACAAGCTTTATGTTGCTTGCACATACATGACTTTCTCATTCCTGCCTCCACATTGTCTTTTCTCTGAGCAGATTCACCCTGCTTTTCTGCCTTCTTAATTTTCTTCAAAACTAAGTCAAACATCTCTTTCCAGAAAATTCCTCATTGACTAATCCTACCTTATTCTATAGTCTTCTCCTCCAAACTGTTTCTGTATTTATGTACCAAGTTTTGTCAAAATCTCATTACAAAGACTATTATCACCAAAAAAAGTGTTTGCAAATGGATCCTAACAGCAGGGCTCCATTGCTTGAATTATTCAACCTTTATTCACATTTTGTGTGGTCCATATTTTTGAAAAAAACATTCCCTATAACAAAAATGCCTCAGTGTATGATATTATGTACTGCAAAAACTGAAAAGGAGAAGAGGACTAAGTTTAAGCCACCAATGGTCATCAAACTGGACAAGTTCTAAAAATTCTCTCTAAAACAGTCTGATGCATGACCATCTCTACAAAATCCTTGACTAGTGATTATTTAGGCTATTTGAACACCTCACATTTAAAGCCCTTTACAACCTGGGTCCACTCTACCTTTCCAACCTTACTATATATTACTCCCTCCCACACCCTCTTTGGTCTAGTCCAATCCTGTTCCACACATGACACTGTCTTGCATCTCTGCACTTTTGCAATGGCTGCCACAAATACTTGGAATGAATTCTCCTCATTTCTGTGACTTAAAATAACAATCCCTTCAAAACTCAACTCCAGCACCACCTTCTACATGGGGCTTTGCCTGATTCCCCCAGTCACTCACGGCTTCCTCCTGAAAACTACACTGAATCTGTTGTCCATATACCCACTTCACATGTTATCTTGCCTCAACAGAACATATGCTCCTCAAAGACAGGGATTATTTCATTTCTGTCTTTTCATCTCCAAATAGTGCCTTAATGAAAAAAATATATCAGACAGTGCTTTTAACACTATAATGCACTATCAGTATATAAATAGTTATTAAAATGCTACTTATTCTAAGAGAGTATCATGAAGAATACTTAATGAGAATAATGTGATACTTTTTAAAAACTGGGAAACCGAACGCTCCACTAAAAGTCCCACATCAATGTCTTTTCCAGTGATGGGGGTGACAGAGGTTCTAGAAATCTAGAAAATCTAGGCACCAACAACATGGGCAAAGGGAAACAGAAGCACCCAATAGCCACATTTGAGGTGCTTCACACATACAACCTCATCTGACAGAGAATCAGACAGGAGTCAGAAGACTACTTCTGGTCCCATCCATCCCCTGTGAGGTGCCTGGCATGGTGTGAGTGCCGCGGCCTCTCTGCGGCTCGACTTCCTCACTGGAGGAGCAGCAGGAATGGTTGTTCTGACAGCTTCTAGGCCTGCCAAGATCAGGTGAGATGACCTGGGGGGACCTGCAGAGGTGCCACAAAAAGGCAAGTCATTGGTAAGCCCCTGGTCTAAAAAGCACTTCCCTACTGACACAACCCCTCTCCTTCCAAATGTGGGCAGCTGTTCCCTTCCTAAAGTTTCTCCTTGTCCACTGAGTTGGAAAAAATCTCTGAAGCTCTCAAAGCAAACCCAGATTGTTTCCTTCTTTAGACTTGTATCCCTAGGGCCAAGCACAGTGCCTAGACAAAAGGAGGCTCTTATTAAGTATGTAGATTGATCAGCAATACTCTGTATTATCCTATATGCCCATGGTGGTGATGGTGATGGTGTTTAATTGTGTCCAACTCTACATGAACCTATGGACCATTTTGACCAAGGGGTTTTCTTGGAAAAGCTACTGAAGTGGTTTGTTATTTCCTTCTCCAGTAGATTAAGGCAAACAGAGGTTAAGTGACTTGCCCAGGGTCACACAGCTAGTAAGTATCTAAGGCCACATTTGAACTCAGGACTTCCTGACTTCAAACCCAGCACTTAACTCTTACTAAATTCTAAGTTCCTAAAGGGCAGGATCTGTATTTATTTTGTCACAAAAGCCCAGATTACAGCAGATTACCTAGTTTAAGAAATGAATGCCTTTAATGTAAATGAGAGATATGGCTCACAAGCCAAGAGGAGGAAAGCGTCAGCCTGCCTGCTTCCCTCTTTTTTTGTTTTGCTTGGGATTTTTCTTAGCCATTAGCTACTGCCTCAGATTGTAGGGGTAGGTGCTGTGACCCTTACCTTCTTCTCCCTCCCAGTCTCTCCATGTTCCCTTCCTATGTCTCCAGCCAAGCCATGTGGTTTGCCATTCCATACCCCAAATAAAAGGGCCTATTGCTTTCAGCACTGGTTGGCTCTTGTGATGTTTCTGAAAAGACCCTTTAAGCAACAAACCTCAATAGATACATTTTTAAAATGCAAATCAATACATAATATTACAAATACTTATTAAACTAATTGTAAAGTTTTTTTCTTATTTTTCCTCAAATTTTCTACTTAAATTAGATCATAATCACTAGGAGGAATATCGATTTCTGATAATCATGACACACTTTTAGTTACCAACAGAAAAATATAACTGGCTACCCTTTCTAGTACTCATTTCACTTTCACTCCTACCCCCCCCAACCCCATCACGGTGGGGAAATGCTAACACTCCTTCCTCCCCACTGCCACTTTCTGACTCTACCACCAACACTGTGCAATCAATCTCTCCTCCTCTGAGGTTCATGCTATCCATACATAGATCACCCAGTCTAGATCCTGGTGGCCATTATTTATGAATCCCCAAGACATTCTCCTTTCTTTCTCACTAAGTTCAGTGCCTGGCTACCAGTCTCTCTCATCGAGGCACACCTAGATACATAGGGATATTCCCTTCAGCCTACTCTAACATCTTTGTCCCTCAATCCAGTCAATCCCCTTGATGTATTCCCCCATTCCACCTCAGCTACACACAGTCATACCCTTGATACTGCCATCACCCCCAAGTATTCTACTTACATGTTGATGAACTCTCAAAACCCTTCATCTAATCAAATCTTTTAACATTCCACTTTCACCTAGGCCTTACTACCACTACCACTATTCTTCAATTTTACCATAATATCCTTCTACCTCCTGGTTCGTGCTCAGGCCATCGCCCCTGTACTGGCTACACTCTCCTTCATACCCTTCCTTGACCTCTTGGTGAATTAGTCCAACAGCATACTACTATCTGCACTTGGCTACACCTGGATAGGAACTTGACCCCTTACTGTATCACCAAGCACACTGTGACAAACTCCCAAACTTACATCACTCTCACCATCTGCCTCATTCTTTTCTATCTGCATGCTGCTGAATACAACCTGGAGAAAATTACAGAGCCATGTTGATTCGGCTCACTAATAATCTAATGTATAATCTCAACTGGACTGCACTGCAGCAAAGCAATCCTTTTAGGCCTCCCAAATCAACTCACTATCTCATTCACAGGATTCTAAAGGGAACAGGAAGCCACTTGGGTTGACTGAAGAGTTGGCTGGACAGAAACAATTGGTATAATTGGTTGACAGAGGAGTGATATGGTTAGACTTGCACATTAAGAATATCACTCTGACATTCCTGTGGAGAATGGAATGAAGAGGGTGAGAAAGTAAAGGCAGGGAGACTAAATTACTAAGTTACAGTAGTAGAGAGAGATGAAAAGAGCACCATTTAGGGTAGAGGTGTTATGAGAGAAGAGAAAGTAAAATATAAGAGATATAGGGAAGCAGAATTAGTAGGATCGGAAAACTGACTAGATGTGGAGAGTGACACATGGCTCTTAGGTTGTAAGCCTAGTAGACTGAAATAATGGTGGTGGCCTTGATAGATATAGGGAAATTCTGAGGAATGATGGAGTTAGGGAGAAACATAATGAATTATACTTTGAACATAATGAGTTTGAGCTATCTCTAGGACACACTAGTAAAGAAATCTACCCTAGTAGCTGGTGAAATATGATTGAAACTCAAAAGAAAGATGAGAGAGGGACTTTTGAATTATCTGCACAGAGAAGAAACACTTTTTTCAAATACTATTATATTGTAACAAATATTGAAATACAACACTAAATCTCTCTGACTAATTTATCTACTTCTTATGAAGACCCACAAAAGGAAAAAAAAAATCACTATCTTATTTTTCTTACTTATGAAATATTTTCATGAGAACAACTCTCCCTCAAATATTCAGTCCTTTAGCAATCATTCTAATTGGGCAATGTATCTAACATATCAAAAACTGCTTTCTTTTCAGAACCTGTTGGTAAATATTTTATTTAAAGTAAAAATTTTATTTAAAGTGGCAAAATGACATGTTTTTTACCTCCTGTCCTGAAAGGTAATATGCTGCAAGAAGTCCTCCAATGAAACGAATATTGACCTCAAATACAGACACCTCTGAATTCTGTGAAGACAAAAAGAATAAAAATAAATAACTTTCCAGGCTCTATAAAAAAAAATATTTCAAAGCAATAAAAAGGTGAGAAAGCTATTCCTTTGTGAAAACAATAATACTGAAAAACTTCTGCCAAGGGCATATAGTAGGTCTGAGTAATGTATTTACCAACCCTGAAAGGAAAAATAATAAAGAAAACCACCCCAAGAAAACTATACCACCCAAAGAAAAAATAACAAAATCAACTTTCATTTAACCTTATGATTTGACAAATCAAAGAAAATGGCAAAACAATACACATATACCTATTTCTACCACCAGGTTCTGGTTGTTCAGACTCTGGCATTCTACACTTTCCAAACACATCATCATTTTCTGGGATTCTACTGTCTTAATGAGATGGATCTAAGGATTTTGTGCTCACTACTACACAGGTCCATACTTTTTACTTTGAGGAGGAAAAAAAGAATGGCACCAAAAGGAGGTCTATGAGGATGTAGCAGAGGGCAACAAAGTGTTTGTCTAGCCTAATTCACAAGGCTGGTCCCACTTAGCCTCAATTTTTATGAGAAACACAGAAACAATTGGTATATATTTTTGATGTGCTGCATGGTTACACATGTGAATAAATCAAAGGAAACACTACCCATGTTTCTCTGCCTATAATGCAGTGGCCACTGTCAGGTTATAATAAAACAAGTGGGGAACGTGCTGCATCATAGAACATGTATGACAATATAGTCTCTAACACACTTTAGTTAAAACCTGTTCTGCCTTCCATAAGACAAGAAGAGCAAGATAGAAGAACCTGAACAAAATAAGGAGAAAGAAACTGTAGATATGATTTGGAGAAGTTTGAACTAATAAAGAAGCCCCAAGACTAAATTTAGGAAAAACTGAAGAAAATTCCAAGGAAAACAATCTCTGTGTCAAGATACTGGTACAGTTCCTACTTTAGGGTTCTATAAAGTAAGGCTAAAAGAAAGAAACAGGATATAAAATGACTGAGGAGAATCAAGAAGTAAGGACCTTAAATGGAAGACTCAAAAAAGAAAATGAGAAGGTAACTGGCAAGACAAGGCAATGTAAGTGAAAAAAGGTAACAACACAAGGGAAGTCAAGCAAAGTGATGGAAAACAGTGGTGAGTAGAGCACATCAGAAAAACAGATCAGAAGACATGCCAAGACCAAGGCCAAAGGGCTGAAGGAGTGTACCTAGGGAATTGTTAAGACTTAGAAAAGGAAAGTGAGGGGTGATTATTAAGAGGTCATAATGGATCTGGGGGGAAAAAATTTAACCCAAGGATTAAAGTTGAAGTACAAGTAATTTTTTTTAAGGCTGAAAATCCCAACCATGCAAAAGTAACGATATGTGTGCACAGTAACTTGCATCAAGACTGAAGATGACATATATTGATCCTAAAAGACTGTGGACTGATCTCCCTATAAAAGAAGGTGAAGGGAGACTCAAGGAACTTGTCTCCACATTCTAGGTTTTAGGGATAATGAAGCATTCCTAATAGAATCAGAAGTGAGACTTCAATAGGGAAAAAGCACAGCAAGAATGTCTTGATACTTGAAAGGAAAGTTGAGGGGAAACAGAAAGATAAGGACAGTTGTATACTTAGAACTCAAAAAGAGATAAGGTTCTTCCTGAAGAGGGAGAAAGTGGCACAGTACAGCCACAGAACTGATGAGATGACAGGTCATCCAGCAGCACGTGAGGACCTTGCTCTGAGGCAGACGGTCTTTTTTGGTTTGTTTCTTCTTTCCGTCTTCCTGGAGCAAGTATCAAAAACGTAAGAGAACATCCCAAGATTTATCACAATGAAAGAAAAGCTCATGGAGTTAGAGGCAGCCATTGTGGTGGCTTCTCTCAGAGTCTTCTCTCAATCTGAGGACCTTGCTTCCGACAGCCCGGCTCTCCATCTTCTCATTAGGCCTAGGGAAGCTTTCTATTTCCTAGCCACTCTTAGAGTTTCCCCTATTCACCATCATGTTTGAGGCAAAGCTGGTCCAGGGCTCCATCCTCAAGAAGGTGCTAGAGACGCTAAAAGACTTCCATCACTAAGGCCTGCAGGACATCAGTTCAGGCAAGGTACACTTGTAGAGCATGGACTCATTAAAACTCAAAATTGTATGGAAGTGATTGTTGAAAACTAAAAATAAATTAATTTAAAAAATTAAGAAAAGTACAAAGGTAGATCTTAATACTATTATCCTAGACCATGCTATACTGAGAAATTCTATTTTAGATGCTTTTATGTCAACAAATTCCTGTGGTAATTCTAACAGAAAAGAGGGTGTGTTTTCAATTTAAATAAAATTATATGGTAAGTGAGCTCTTCACAGAGTAGTACCTTCAAATAGGTCCCTGCTGAGATGCAAAAATGTACATGGATTTTCAGCCTTAGCAAAAGTTAATGTAAAAATTGTTAATGTTTTTATTTTTCACTCTGGAACTATTGAATATAAAGCATTATGAAAATAGAGATAAAGGATGTAATTTCCACACACTCAAAACCTCTCTCCTCCTACCCCACCCCCAAAATGGAAGACAACTATCGCTTCTGGTGGTTCACATGAAGAAAAATGATGATGCCACTGCTAAAGATTACAAAGTTCTGGGTAAGAAAATGAAGGTAAGAGTGACAGGTTTGGTTTTCTTCATTGCTGAAGAATGAAGGCTAGGAATACAGAATAGAAAGTTTCATTTGAGATGGAAACAGATAGCTGAGAAGGTGGTGTCTGAGAATGGAACTTGGACTTTTGAACCACAGCATAAAATACAAAGATTCCTGACCAGAGATTAAATCTACCTAAAGAAGGCGAGCTAGCAAGAATATTTGATAGGTGTCATTTAAATCTAATTTGAAAGACTTTAAATGAAAAAAGATAGTGAAGGAGTAAAAAAGCTTATGAAGATTTAAACACTTTCCCCTCCCCCATCTAAACAGCATAGAGAATAGCTATAATTAAGGAAGAAAAGCAATTGAAACAGGTGGAAATTCCTAAGAAACAAAAACCTATGGCCTCAATTTTTTGTACATTAAATCATAAAGTTTAAACAACAAACAAGGGGCACAAAAGAGCAAATTTGACCTCACAGGTACCACTAAAGACTTAGTGGGATGGAATTCATGACTGAACCACATTCTGGATAAGTATAAGTTATTTAAAATAACTGACTGGTGGTGGTAATAGCGAACATTTATACAGCGTCTCTGTGCCAGGTACTGTGCTAAGTACTTTTTACAAAAATTATCTCATTTGATCCTCATAGCAACTCTACAAGGTAGGTACTATTATTAATTCCATTTTACAGATGGGGAAACCGAGAAAGACAGAAGTTAAGTGACTTGCCCACCCGTCACACAGATAATAAGAGTCTAATGCTGCATTTGAACTCAGGTCTTCCTGACTTCCGTTTCAGCACTCTATCCACTATGCCACCTAGCTGCCTCTGCAAGATAGGTAAAAGGAATGTGAGATAACACTGTATATTAAGAACGTATATTCCCGGGGGCAGCTAGGTGGTGCAGTGAATAGAGCACTGGCGCTAAAGTCAGGAGGACCTGAGTTCAAATCCAACCTCAGACCAAACACTTGATACTTATTAGCTGTGTGACCTGGGCAAGTCACTTAACCCCAATTGCCTTTAAAAAAAAAAATGTATATTCCCATAAGGAAATCCAGAAGTAGAAAGCAGGGAGCATTAGGATGTATAGAAAGTATACTTTACTTTCTCTTTATCCCTTTTTTCCCCAGTACGTATACACAGTAAACACTTAATGAAAGTTTGATGAAAAATGACAATTGTTAAATATCAAATATTTTTTGCTGGGAAAAAGCAAAGTTTGATTCTTGTATAGAAAGTGAAAAAGGATCAATGCCTACAAACAAGATCACTGTTGCTAGGAAAAGCAAACTGCTAGGGCTATTTGCCTAAATATGATCCTGAGTCTCAACTTACGTCAGTTAATATGGGTTTACAATTAACTATCCCACCTTAAATCTTCTGAATGGGTTCATGAAGCACAGAATCCTTATGGGGAACCTGGCAAGTCCTATACTAGACCACCTTGTCAGGAGAGGAAAGCAAAAGTATACTTTAATCTAGTTAGTCCTTAGCTTTCAAGAAAATTAAAATCGTTAGTTTACCAAATGAGATGTTTTACTTCACTAGCCACCTATTATAATAAGCTGTTTAGTTATTGGCACCTTGCCAACGTACAGAATACATCTGAAAATACACAGTAATCGCTCAAAAAGATCATGTTGTAATATTCAACGATGTTCTCAAACATTTCAACCTGTTGCTATGGTTGCTGGGTCTGTAACCAGGTGACAAGTCTGTACATTCAGTTTTCGAGCACTTTGCAATAATTTAATCAGGCTAACAGAACTAAGAGTTACTCAAGCATTTGAAAATTTTATTAAAAATTGTAAGAAAAAAGAAATTTTAATCTACAAAAATGGAATATAGAATCAAACTTATAACTATCTGCTTTGGAACTGATAATTATGTTTGTCTGGATGCCTAAATGGTTATATTGATCAAAAAACAGCCAATAATTTTTGGAAACGTCTACTTCCAAATCACCCACTTCATTCTAGGACACATGGACACGTGTCATGTAACTGTCAAATGTTTCAATATACTCGGTGGACTATCAGATTCTGTTAAAATTAGTTAATCTCTTGAAGTTTTTTAATGTTTCTAATATCTAAAAGCAAAAAGTAGGCATAAAAGAAGAAATAACTCTAAAATTAATGAAGGAAAATATTCTATAGTATTTAAAAGGGAAGGTGGTCAATTTGGTACCAGATATTAAGAACAGAATAATCTCTTCCAAAAGAAATGTATGATGGAAATAGTCCAAATCTTGTAGTATTTTCAGATATATCGATCTTATAATGAAGTACTGAAACTTTATACATATGCATATACATATATGTATATATAATACACATATACACACATGTACGTATATATATACATTGTGTATATACATATATTCACAGATAGACAGACAGATAGATAGATATAGACAGATAGACAGAGAGATGAGATAGATAGCTAAGTCCTTGCAGATCAACTAGTCAAACACCATATTAGGATTTAAATACATTTTCAAAATGTTCTAAGGAGGAAAGCAGAATGTTAGAAGCAACATCACTTCATACAGAGTGAGAAGCAGTGAAAGGAAAAAGTTTATAGAAAGCCTAGTGTTTAACAAATTAAGCCAGATCATCCCAAGTGTCTAAAGATGAAAGTGGAAGGACAACAAAAGAATGAAAAATGAAAACAATCTGCCAACACGTCAATAAGAAGATATTCTTCCAACAATGGCCATAGAACACTGGACACTAAAATCAAAGTCCCAGCAAGTGGTATGATAAACCAGAATTCAGACTAAAGTATCTATAACATCTAACCAATGAATCGTGAAAACAAACATAATAAAGTGATGACAGTCCTTCAAAATATTTGAAATCAGCAATTTCGTTTGCAATTCTCCCCCCGCTAGGTTACACATCTCCAATTTTTTTCAGCTGAAGCTTTTATGTTAGGGATTCTGACTCCCCTTATGATCCTCTAATTACCCTCCTTTGAATGTGCTACAGTTTGTCAACTTCCTTCCTAAAATGATACTCTGAACCAGGAGTCGGGAACCTGCAGCCTCTAGGCCGCATTTGTTCTGTAAAACTTGGACTCAGTCAAAAGGCCCCACCCAAAGAGTTAGAAGGCCACATGTGGCCTCGAAGCCCCAGGTTCCCCACCCCTGCTCTGAATTATAACACTCTACATGTGATCTGACCACAACAGAGTACAACAGTGCCTTGCTCTAAAATCAAGAGCTCTCAGTGTAAGGTCTATAAACTTTAAAATACATATATTTTTATAACTATACTTCAAAACAAATGATATCCTTCGTAATCCTATATATTTTATTTCACGCATTTAAAAACATTATTCTGAGAAGTGTTTCATAGGCTTCATCAGACTGCCAAGGGTTCCACGACACCTCTGCTAGAGACTCTATTTCCACTACTATAGCCTAAGATAGCATTGAGACAGGTATGGCAGGGTGGAGAGAGAGTCAGCCCAGGATTCAAGAAGTGCTGGGAAAACCACTTTAACCTCTAGATACTTTAATCCACTCTCTAAAACTAAGCTGTAGAAGAGTTGCCAGCCTGCATGAGTTCAAAGAATTTCTTTACCAGGAATTACCTACATTAATGAAACCACAGGTTTAGACCGAAAAAGAGAACATTAGCTTTTTGGGCTGCCATACTATATTAAGGTCCTTATTAAAGGAAGCTGGGGCTACAAAACACGGAGTGCTGGACTTGGAGTCAAAAAAGACCTGAGATCAAAACCCACCTCAGGATGTGACTTAGGCAAGTCACAACTTCTTTCAGCCTAAGTTTCTTTTTCTGTAAAATGGAGATAACAATAGCACCCACCTTGCAGGGCCGACACATATAAAGCACCTTAAAGTGCTACATAAATGCTACCTATCAGGCTATAATTACTCATAGTAGATCACATTTTCCCCATCCTCTAGCTGTACAGTCAATTTATATAGTTTATTCTTTGACAATGAAGCTTTAATAACTTAAAACTTCACGAAGACTTCTGGTACACTATATAACAAGAGGTCAAACTTAGTGATCTAAATTTGGAAGCCAACTGCACTGAAGTGATAGACTAAACCATGAAAGTGAACGAGATTTCTGAGAGTCCTTAGAGATAGGAGGGGAAGTAATGGAGCACACAAACTTAGAGAAAAAGACGACAAAGCTCAGAAAATATGAAACCACCATTGAGGTTGGAAAATCAAGGGCATACAGCACCACAGAAGCCTAAGGAAACAAGTTTAAGAAGGAGGGGGTGATCTTTAATGCCAAATATTTCAAAGATGTGAAGATGCTCACTGGAAAAAAAAAATGAATTGGCAAGCTAGAGGGCCTTGGTAACCTTCAAGGAAGCAGTTTCTATAAAGTACTAAGAGCTGAACTCATGTTGCAAGGGTTAAGTTTTAAAAAATAAAGTAGTGAATCTAAGTATTATTTAAATTTTATCAATTACTAAAAAGAGTGAAAAAGGATAATAGTTGGATTGGTTAAAGAAAGGCTGAGAGGATTCTCACCTATTCTATTCCACAACTTCCAGAGACAACTTTGATACATCTGGCCAGCCATATTCACACTAACTCACTGGAAAAATATGTCACTTATCTTTCAATGGTTAATACTCCCATTTTACACCCGAGTGATCGATATACATCTTCTTTCACTGGCAAAAGCCAATAACTATGCACTCTTCTTGGACTAAATTATTCCCTAAACCATACACCTCTCTCATACAAATATGCCTTCTTTTCTTTCTTTCTTTTTTTTTTTAAATTACAATCACTAGGAAGACTATAAGTTAATAGCTTCTACCATGTTGTGAAAGTGGCCTTCATTTTCACAAGGGAACGAGGGGAAAATAAGGAAAATATTGATTAAGCATGTTAAGAATGATCGGGGAAGGCTTTTAAATGACAGTTCACAGACCAAAAAAAGCTCTTTTTTTTTAACAGCCTAAAATATCTACAGTCAATATAATTTGCCCTTTGCAGGAATCCATTTCCATTCATATTACTTACAGAAATAATTACTACTTAACACAATCCTTAAGTATCTATTATTTGGGAGACACCAGGATTTTATACAATTAAAAAAAATATTGAAAAGAAATATAAAAATACCATAATGACAATGTACTCTTGTAGCTATTTTCACCCCAAAAAACATTCAAAGAATTAGTTCAGTAATTGAAGCTAAAAATAAAGGGGCAGTAAGAGTAATAATATTTATCAGGAAAACCAGAAAGGGCCTGTTACTTACATAAAATCTGAGAGACAAAGTTATATTCCTAATAGCAGAAAAAAAGGATTATTTCTAGTATTCATTACCAGTTGATATAATAGCTCATGCTTCTGAAGAGCTTCATAATCTACAAAGAGCTTTTCTCATAACAATCCTGTAAGGCAGGCAGAACAAGTATTATTATTCCCATTTTATAAATGAGAAATTAAGCCTCAGAAAAGTTAAGTAACTATCACATGACCACATGTTTATTCAAATGTCAGGGCCAAGGTGTAAATTTGGGCTTTTAGGCTATAAGACTAGTCTCCTTTCACTCTTTCACACTAACTTCCTATGGTGTTATATAAAACCACTTGAAATATGATTCTGTGGGTCTTTTCAAAGTTGCTTTAAAAGATCAGTAATCAATAGTATATACTTACCACACTAAAATCAAGATTGTGGTCAATCCACTCCTGTCCTTCTTTGAATTCGTCATGGAGTCCCATGATATAAAGAGTATCCAAAGCATCTACTATAGTAGCACCCATTTTAGAACTTCCTAGAGTTAAGAAAACAGAATTTCATAGTTAAGTATTCTTTTCATTAGTTGATTTTTTTTAAAAAAGGAAAATACTAAAAAAATTAAGTCTGACAGAGCACCTATAAAAGCATAAGGAAAGATAATCATCCATATCATTATTTCAGGAATAAAGATTCTAGTTAATTATCTTGACCCAAGTTTGAGCAATTTATCCTCACAGAAAACCAAGAAAGTAGAACCAGGGAAAAATTTTTAAATCTGTTGTTGCTGTTGTTGTTTTTAAGGGAAAGAGGTAGGGAAAGAAAGAGTCAGAGAAGGTTCAAATCAATTTTGTAACATTTAATATAATGGAAAATATCAATATTCTTCATAAAAAATAAAATTCAAAATGTCTTAGATGCTCTTGACATAAAGAATGAAAGTAATAATTCACAATTTTTCATCGGTTTCAATTCCCATTTCTATAGCACTTTACAATTTACAAAGCACTTTCCTCACAACAACCTTGAGAGGTCCTTAAGTAGCACAGATATTATTATTCTAATTTTTAGATAAGGTAACTTCAATTAAGAGTTGTTGAAAGGAATTCTATTATGACTAGAGGAATAACTAAGATTGAACAATCTGCGTCCAATATACCTTGGTTTGGCAACTAACACAACGACACTTAAGAAATTCTGATACAGAAAGGTAGTATCACTGAAAAATTATAATTTGGGCAAGGTTCTTATAATAGTGAGCTATTTTCCCCCACTGCATTTAATGATTTGCAAATTACTATATAACATCAAAGTTTACATACTAGCCATAACAATGGAAGTACTTGGAATCAAAGCCAAATGAAAAGTCAACAAATTAAAGCTAAAGTATATATGAAAATGTGTCACCTTCCATATGAAGTTTTTCATGACTCTCCTCCAGCTACCAGTGCCTTCGCCCAAAAATGATCTTGCATCTACTTGGTATATACATTTATACGTACATGTTGGCTCACCTCAGTAGAGTTCAAGCTCCTTGAGGTCGGAGATAGTTTCACTTTTAAGCCTAGCACACAATGCCTGGCACTTTGTAGATGCTTAATAAATACTTGGCAAGTGACTGATTAAGTCAGTGGAAAAGTGATTCAATTGTAAGTCAATTAAATTTCATAAGCCATATTAGATAACCAATCAGACGTATACTAGCAATCTTTAGGAAAACAATACAGACGTCCTAACAGTAGGTGGCACTGTAAGTTAAAATTAATGCTTAGTGTTCTTTGACCCTTTTTCTCAGCTAAAACCTACCTAAAATGCCTCAAAAAGTTCACTCAAACTTCTTAAAAACTCTAACGACGATATGAGCAACTGAATCTTAACAGAGAAAAATATCTCTAAGTACATTATTAAAAATTGTTAGAATATCTTCAAAATACATGTCTGCTTCAATATTTAACAACTGTCATTTAACAATTTTCATTCAGTGTTTACTATGTGCTAAGTGCTGGGAATACAAAGAAAGGCAAAAATATGGGCTCAGCTCTCAAGACATTCACATTAAAACAGGGGAGGCAACATGCAAGCAACCAAAGATTATCATATAACAGGAACTGGGAAACTATGGGTGAGAAACACACTCACAGAGACATTCCTGACTTACACCAAAACAGATTTCCATGAGACAGGTACAGCATTTCCCTAAACTCTTTCCTCAAACAAAGGACAAGGGATAGATAGCAGAGAAGATAATATAAACTCTACAGCTACCACCAACCTACCCCATGCCCAATGCTACTCTACCTAGTAAGGAGTGGTAGAGCTCAGACAAAGTTTACACATACAGCATATGACTGTATGTAGCGGGCCTCCCTAACTTCAGTTAGAGATCTCCTGGATTCTTAAATTTCCTATCCAGCTAGAAAACAGTCACATGATTGTCAACCAAATTATTCCCCCCTTCAGTAAAAGTTTTCACAGATGCTGTGTAAACAAACAACAGTAGGACACTATATAAAAAGAGAGGACACTGCTTCAGTAGTCAAGAGAACCGAGATCAGATGTGAGCTCTGCTACTGACTATGGCTTGCTAGAAAGAGGGATGCAGAAGGACTGCGGGGCTTAACAAAACTAGTGGAGATGTGGTAACTATCCCAATGGAATAAGAGCTGCGGAGATTCCATTTTTTAAGAGTCATTACTTTCCTGAGGAAAGGTAAGCAGGTAGCAGCAGTCAGGAGCAACAGTGAGAAAAAATGGAACAGCTGACCAGTACAGGTTGGCAGTCAGAAAGCTGACGCTATCCCACACTGCACTAAACGAGGCACTGTGCCTAGACAGAACGAGGGAGGTGACAGTTCCACTGGACTACACCCTTGACCCAACAACATCTGGACTGCTGGGCTCATTTCTGGATAAAACATTTCAGAGAAAGAACTAACAAGCTCCAATACATCCAGATGGCCATGATTAGGATAGTGAAGGAACTCTACACTCTGCCATATGTGGAAGTGTTGAAGGAACTGAAAATTTTTATCCTTGACAAAGGACTTGGTGGGAGGGTACAATGAGAATTATCTTCAACTACATGACATGCTGTCATAAGGAAAATTTATTCTGCTTAGCCTCAAAGAACAAATGAAAAGCAATACGTGGAAAGGCAGAGGCATAAGATAATTTTTTATTTAAATTTAATATTTTTCCCAAGTGCATATAAAAACAATTTTTACATTCCTTTTTTTAAATTTTGAGTTCCAAATTCAATCCCTCCCTCAATGCGAAGGCAAGCAATATGATATGTTATATACATGCAGTCATGCAAAACATATTTCCATATTAATCATGTTGTGAAAGAAAACACAGACCCCCCCCCCCCAAAAACCCTCAACATAAAATTATAAGAAAGATTCCTAGCAATCAGAGATGTCTAGCTGTGGAATGGACTGCTTGGGAAACAGAGAGAGCTGTAAATGTACACTTTCAAGTAGAAAGCACCTGCAGGGGATGTTAAAGAAGGAATTTGAAGTATAGGTTGGAACAGATGGTTTCTGAAGTTCCTGCCAAATCTGAAACTGTCTCAATTAATGAACTGACTGTTCTCTTTGAGCAATGCCTTTTCTTTTTCCAAGTATGTGACAACTTCTTTGGAACTCCTCAGTTTTCTCAACTATAAAAGACTCAGGTTAGATGACTACCTAAAGAAGATCAACCCTCTTGAAGTAAATATATTTTAGATTGTAGGGATACAGAACATGAGCAGCAGTATATTTCAGAATAGAATTCCTGACCAGCAGTCTGTTTCAATATTCTTCCTTATACTCGTCTCTTTTGCTTATTTTCTGTTTAATAATTAATATTCACTTCATCTTTCAACAGACATTAACAGAATATTATTTTCTACTATTTCATTGCAAAAAGTACAAATTTCAGTTACATTCCTAGTGAAATAGTATTTTGTGGGATATCCTGGCTACCTAATCATATTTATGATGCTGTTTCTATGTTCTAAACAAGTATCTTGCAAATACAATTATGGCATCTATTGATGCCTTGGCAAGTCTATAGAGTAGAGGTTCTGTACTGCCTACAAAATGCCCATGTGTCCCCCATCATTAAAAAGACCTCACTTTATCCCTCTGTCCCCACTAACCATATGGTCCTATGGTCCTTCTGTCCTTTTTGGCTAAACTCCTTGAAACTTCTCTACAATAAGTTGCCTCCAGGTTCCTCTCTTTTCTTAAACCTTTCCTCACCCCACCAAAACAGTTCTCTCCAAAGTTACTGGTTAGAATTCAATCATTTCGGTCACATCCAACTCTTTGTGATCCCAGGATCTCTTGACTGCCAAATGCATTGGCCTTTTCTCAATCCTCATTCTCCTCGACCTCTCCATAGCCTTTGACACTGTTAAGCACCTTACATTTTCTTCTCTCTAGGTTTTCAAGACATCATTCTCTCTTGGTTCTTCTCATACCTATTTATTATTCCTCAGTTTCCTTTGCAGGATCCTTAGCCAGATGACACAGGTATCCCACAGGCCCTCTTCTCTTCTCCTTCTATATTACTTTGATTGGTAATCTGATCAGCTCCCATTACCACCTCTATGTTAATGATTCTTCAATCTATCCATCCTACCATAACATCTCTTCTGACCTCCAATTTCACATTTCCACTTCCCTTTCAGGTATCTCAAACTCATGTTCAAAAGATATCTTCAATTCAACAAGTCAAAAACTCTTGTTTCTCCCTCACCCTTCCCATCTCCTACCATTACTGTCAAGGGTAACACCAACCTCTTAGTCCCGTCCCCCAGGCTACAACCTAAGTGTTATCCTCAATTCTCAACTTCCCTCTAGGCCATCATGTCCAATCTATTGCCATGGCCTGTTAATTTCACATTTGCAACACCTCTCAAATAAATCCCCTTCTTTCCTCTGATGCAGGACCTCACCACCTCACACCTGGACTATCACACTAGCTGCTCATGGGTCTTCCTTTCTTCAAGTTTTCCCCTACACTAATCCATTCTCCATTCAGCCACTAAAATGACTTTCCTAAAACAAAGGAAAGATCATGTCATCTCCCTTACACCATAAACAACAGTGGCTCCCTATTGTCTCCAGGATCAAATACCAAATACTCTGTCACTCAAAGTCCTTCAAACCTAGGCCTCTCTTACTTTTCCAGTCTTCTTACATCTTTCTCTCCACCACATATGCTTCAATCCAATGACACTGGTCTCCCGACCATTCCACAAACAGATATTCCATCTCTCGGCTCCAGGCATTTTCTCTGGCTTTCGTGCCTGGAATGTTCTCCTTCCTCATGTCTGCCTACTGGCTTCCTAATAAATTCCCATCTTCTACATGAAGCCTGTTCAACCCCTAATACTAGTGTCTTCCCTCTCTCAACTATTTCCTATTTATCCTGTATATAGCTGTACATTTTTTTTTGTTGTCTCCCCCATTAAATCATGAGTTCTTTGAGAGCAGGGACTGTCTTTTGCCTCTTTTTGCAGCCTCAGTGCTTAACACAGTGCCTGGCC